TAGTTCCTTCTTTGCCTGGGCAACAAACGGGTGATGGTGGAGCCATGCTAATGATGATGATTTGGTTTGCTGTGGCTCTAGGGCTCTTTTTGTTGCGACCGAGAGCCCTGCGCAACAACCCAGATACAAAGCCCACTGACAACAATGGACCTGTAAGTCTGGTTTCATTTTTAACATCTGTTCTTTTTATTTCTACAAGTAAGTCATCACGCCCTTTTGTCTTTTCTCTCTCTTAAGGGATCAAGTGGATCACCCCCACCAATGGCAAACTAGAAAGAAGGCCTTCTAAACCGATGTCACGAAAAGATTCTACCGGAGGATTATTATTTCTCTCCATCTGCAGTGAGGGTACTATCTGAGATATTGGTCGCTAATCTGAATGACCTTACAATTTTTGTAGAGTTATTAATCTGGGATATGTTTCTGTTTTTGTTTTACATCACAAGCCTAGCCTTTACATAGGCACTTCATGGCATTCGTATTTTTGCACTATAATCTTTTCCCCATTGATTTTGAGCTTCAATTTCATTTTTGTACCAATTAAGTCGATTTCTAGTGGTGAATTTTGTTTCTGATTTAACAGTTAAAGTCTGCAAGAGACTGATTTACTTTTTTGGTGACAGATATCTAATAGATATTTGTAATCTGCATTTTTGTAGATATTCTACAAATTTTTCACAAAGCTCTATTATTTTAATGCAATGATATTGCAATCAAGCTCAATAATTAATGGTCTTCTTTTTGTTGGGTTTTTATGTTGTTTTTTTTTTTTTGGTCAGCAAAGTATAAAAGAAAAAGATGTAAGTTTTGCTTCCATTATTCATTAACTAGTTGTCTGAATGATGAAGCCAATGGTCATGCTTTTATGTAAAATGCTACAAACTCATCTAAATTTTAGACATTTTTGCATCGACCAGTTTAATTTTGTTTTGTTTTCGCGTTTTTCTTCTGTTTTACCTTTTTTTTCATATTTTATCATCTTCTGTTGTGGTTTAGCTGAAGATAATGTAGAGGTTCCTGAAATGAAATCTCAACCCTGTTAACTGAAAGGTTCTCTCTAAAAATAATTTGCTCTGCCTTACACGAGGATTACTACAATTCTAATAAGGGATTACCCTATATTGATATATATTGGTGATTGTTAGTACCTTGTAAGTCTTTTTTTTTTTTTTTTTGCGCATTTTGTTTTATTTGTATGTAGGTACTCTTATGCACTTCAGATAATATTGGTAACTCAAACTTAGGTGTCATTTTTCCTCCCATCGCCTCTTTTATGTTTCTTTTTCCATTGAAGCTACAAAGCATTTAAAATACTCAGTTGATTAAGTATTTTGGCACTAAGAAACTAAAATTTGGATGTGTATTGATTACTCATATCGCATGTCATCTACTTTGAAAGTATTATCATGTCATATGGGACCTGTTTTATTCTTGTGTCATTCCATCATTATCACTAGTATGCTTGCTATTAAAATGAAACCCCTTCCCTTTTAGCACACATTGTAATACTCATTTTTCAATGAAGCTTTGCTTTTTGTGTACTCTTTACTGGGTTATTAAATTCACTGTGATAATACAAGAGTGGGCAACTGGTTTATCAGTTGTAGATTATTATGTCCTGTAATGTTGTGATGTCTATGAATTCTTGATGGTGTTTGGAGTGTTTGGAATACTCAGGAAAAATATAATTATTTGATTTTTTTCTGTTAACCGTTTTGAAGCGTCATTCTCTTATTTTTCAGATTGGTGAGCTTACTGAATTGCCCCAGCAAATACTTTATTTCTGTCATATTGACTGTTTAGGTATGTCTGTTCTTTTCTTGCTCATGGTTTTAAAACTGTCATCTCCTCTACATAGGTTGATGTTGACACTGGTCTGTAAATTAATCAGTATTACAATATCCACGAAGATTGACAGAACCTGCACAAACTTACATAGTTTTCTGCAAAACTGCTGGTTGGGTTAAACATAAAACAATCATATTGTTTCTAATAATAATTTTACTACTCCTTCTCTTATTTGTTCTATCCCAGCATATTTTCAATCCTATAACTCTGTATGTCATCAACAAATCTGTATTCTCCCTTCTGAATGAACTGAGAAAAAATGCCTACAAGCAAGTCGGAAATGATTACATTGTGATATTTTTGTTTTGTAAATATTGTTGGAATTCACTGTACATGGAGATTGTCTTGGGTGTGTCTAAATTAGGTGTAATATGATGGATTTGGTCCATGAAAAGGAAACAATGGTTTGTTATGGTTATTTTTATTTGATACTACTGTCATGGAATAACTGTGTTTCAGGCAAAATTCTATCAGATTCGTGCTAAAGAGGCACCAGTGTATTCTTACCCTTTCTTTATGGTTAAGACCTCAAACGAAATAAATTTATTGGTGCTTTCTAAAATGATTTATATCAACAAAGGTGTCATAATACCACCAAACACCTTTGATAAATGGATTGTCTAATTATACGTTGAGATTTCTAATGTTGGTACTCTTATATTTGTATTGGGTGCATGTTTCCTGTATAGTATTGATGTTAAATGTTTGTATATAATTTAAAAAAATATCATCCTTCTGTTAACCATCTTAGTCAACAGAAAACTGAACCACTATTAAACACACCTGTGTTATAATTGAAGTGAGGCCTCTCACTGGCTGTGTAAATTTTAGAATCATGATTAAATTGCAACTTTGGCAAGCAACTTAAACGAGTGTTGTATACAAATTTCTATTAACATTGACCTTTCTTCTTACCCATTCCTGACGTCTGTGGCATGAACAGAGCAACTTCCTAAACCTTAACTACGGTATCTAGCAAGGATAACTAGCCGGTGGCATAGTGCCCTAAACTTCAGTGTTCCAAAGAACAGATTTACTGTATAATAGTGACATCACAGTGAAGTGAAAAATAAAATTAAGTCGTCGCTTGACTGCCCTCTGTGATGTCAATTGGCACCATTCTCTACATAGGTAAATGACCAATTTTAGACCTTTACTGCACCCTGATGTCAGTTTGACATTTTTGAATCAGTTCTGAGTCAGAAACTTGAAAACGATATCGTTCTGATATCGATTCGATATCGCTTAAAATTCATTTCACACTGGGTTGGTTAGAGTGTTCTGCTGACAACTCAAAACTAAACCTGAGCTAAGCTTTTTGTCAGAGACCTTACATAAAATGTCAACGTTCATGTAGCACCGAGGAGGCAAGGAGGGTGTTGTAGAAGAACGTGGGACGTGGGTTTGGGCTGGGGTGTTCAGGAGTTAAGGAGTTGGGGGCGTTGAACGAGCCCCACCCCTAGAGCTCTAGGACCTGGAACCCCCTTGTGGTGGCTGTACCGACGCCAGGGACTCGGAATAAGATAGAAACAACCGGTGTTGCATGTCAACGTACGAGATAGAGAGAGAGGGAAGGACAGCATTCGCGAAGCAACCCTACTCGCGCCCGGGACCCGGGTGGCAGCGCACTTCGGGAGTTTCCGCCTCGGAGCCGAAGCGGTTCGTGCCTGGGCCCGGACGCGGGACGCTCGAGAGATGGGCGTGTGGAGCCGCCTCGCCTCCCCACCCGGCGGCCGCACTCCGCGCCGCCAGTCCCGAGCCGGCCACCTCTCGAGCAGGAGGTGTGTGACAATCAGTGCGCGACAGGAGAGGAGCACCGCGAGCGAAGCGCGACGCGACGCGTGAGCGGCGTGGGTTGTTGCTGTTGTCAGCGTGGGGGTTGCCGACGCGAGTGAGTGGTGCGTGAACCTCATGGGATACTTTACTCTGCCGCGGGATCAGCGACTGTGGTGAGTGTACGCGTTGCGATGCAGTAGTAGTACGACGCGCAGGGTGTTGTTGTAGTTCGCGCGCGAGGCCCGGGCGGCGAGGGCAGTCCTGGACCCGGAGGCTGGTGGGCGGCTTGGTCCAGGGGCGACAGGCAGGCACCCCCCAGCATGCAAATGTGCTGTGAGTCATCCTCGCCGTGTCGGCTGGTCGCGGGCCGCGCGGGCTGTCACTCGGGCGGGAGGGGAGTCCCTGCGCCTCGCGCCCCGGGACCGCGCCGCCTCCCCCGCGCCATCAGGAATGCCCTTTTCCCGGTCTTCGGGCTCCTCTCACGTTTGTCGCCGCTCTTCTACTGCCCCTGTTATCTCCTTCACCCTCCGACCCCGTCCTCCCCAACCTCCTCCTCCTCCTCCCGGCTATGATCTCACACCCCGTGTGTGCGGGTGAGATGAGATCTCCCGACTCCCGACGCGGAATCGCACGCGCGCGCACGCCAACTACACCGAGATATGAGCGGGGAGGGGGTAGCCCGAGGGTAGCCCGAGGGGTGCCCGAGGGGTGCCCGAGGGGTGCCCGAGGGGTGCCCTCCCGCCGGGCCGGGCGGCGTCCTCCCCGTCTCCGTCCTCCGGCAGGCCGGCAGGCCGCCCGCGGGCGCCACGAGGAGTGCGAGTGCGCTGTTCCCTGCTCAGGCAGCATGTGCAGCCGAATGTGTGTCAATGTGCCCCCATACGAGCCGCCCCCGCCCCCGCCCCCGCCTGACCTGCTCCAGGTTCTCCCCGTCCTCCTCGCCTCCCTCCAGGCCCCCGGGTCCTCCACGCTGCTCCCCTTCAAGCCGGTAATGACCCCCCGGGTAGGGTTGTTCGGGCCAAAGGGGATGAGGTCGTCGGCCGGCGGCAAGCTCTCTCTCTCTCTCCTCTCGAATGTGCAATCGCCGTGCCGCTTCGAGAGGTCGCTGGAGAGCAGCACGGCGGCACGGAAGAGGAATCGTCACAAAAATGCGATGAGGGACAGGAGGGGGGGGGGGCAAAGCGTAAAGAGTAGTAGCAGAGCGGGATCAACGCGACTCAAAGAGAAATTTGCAAAAAGTTGTGTCATACATTTCAAACTAGCCGGCGAGGCAACGAGGATACGACGAAAGGGGGGGGGGCGTGACACCGTAACTTATTTTATGGGGGAAACAGGCCGCAAATGGTCCAGGTGTCTCAAAACCTCCAAACTTGTGCGCCCATGTTCACTCGGAGCGCGGGGAAGGGGGGGGGGGCTGCAGTTGTTTGTCACTCGAGCTGCGGCGGCGGCGCGGCGGCGGAGCCGGACAGGTCCGGACAGGTCGCGCGGGGGTTGCGAGCGGCGCGGGGCGGGGAGAGGGGCGCAGGCGTCTCGTCTCGTCTGCTCCGGCTAGCCGCCGGCCGTCTCTGGGTCAGACAGACGCACGGTGGAGAGAGAGAAGGTGGCGGCACGAG